TAGCTATATATGAATTAGCAAATCGCTTTTTGGTTAGCTGTGCTCGCCACTGCTTGGACTGTTGTTCACCAGTGATGGTAGAAAGGGGCGGTAGATGGACTGAGGATGAAATGCAACAACTGGTATTGGCTCAGTCTGTCATGGTGAAGAAAAGACTGAGCCAAAAAGCAAAGCTGTCGATTTACTGGTTCATTTATGTTTCAGTTTTTACCTATGGACACGAGATATGGATCATTACCAAAAGAATGAGAAACATCCAATAAACATCTAATGAACAGTGCAACTGTATGGTTTCCTTTTATTATTCATTTGTTTATTTCGTGTTAAAATATGATCATAAAAGTTTTCTCAGCATTGTATTTCTGTGTTATTTAGCAGGGAGTGGTAGCACAGAGGGTAGAGAAAGTGAACCTGTTATCATAAGATTGCCGGTTCGACTCCCTGGACCGAATACATGAAAAATATGGGTGGAAAAGGTAAAGCACCCACACTGGCCTCTACCCTCGTTTGCCCTTGAGCAAGGCCCTGAACCCCCACCATCTGCTCCCCTGGGTGCCCTAGATAGCAGCTCTCTGCTCCATACAGAGGGCTGTGGTAACTCGGTGGTCTGTGGTTGCGTCAGGAAGGACATAGGGCATAAAAACTATTGCTAAGTCTTCGTGCGAGTTGGTTCACTGTGGCGACCCCTGAAGAAGGGAGCAGCCAAGCCAAAAAAAGAAGAAGTATTTAGGTGTTATTCATGTTTTTTAACAAAATTATTTGAAACGTGATTATTGTTATTGCCCCTGGTATGAATGTCAATTACAAGCCGGAGTCACAGCAGATGTCAGCACAGGACCATTAGTAGGCTGATGGTTCTCTCATCTTTGACCCTGATCTTGGAACAAAGAGAAGCTCTGAGATGGTTTGCAGCGACACGTCACTAACCTCATTATATTTCCCATCTTTAAGAAGTGCACACAGGAGAGGAAGAGGACTTGTGCTGCCTGAAATTAATTTGTGTAAAATGTTTACTGCATAATTTCCCAGTACTGTCACATCAGATAAATTGATCTATGTTTATTTATATTTAAAAAAAAAAACATTTTCATAATCTCAGAGCTGAAATCAACTGATATTATAGTGTTGTCTGTAATACACTATCTGTATTTAAAAATAGACAGAATTTTTATTTTATTTTATTCCATCCATCCATCCATCCATTATTTTTGCCTGCTTCTTTCTTTTTGGGTTGTGGGGGTCACTGGTGCCCATATCCAGCAGTCATTGTACAAGAGGCAGGGGACACCCTGGACAGGTCTCAAGTCCATCATAGGAACACAGTTCATCCATGGGCCTGATTTGGCCCTCGGGCCGTTAGTTGAACAGCCCTGATTTAGAGTTACCAATCAGCCTAACATACATGTTTTTAGTCCGTGGGAGGAAATTGGAGTACTCGGAGAAAACCCACGCATTCACGGAGAGAACATGCCAACTTCTCCCAGAAAGGCTCGCGGTCGGGATTAGATCCAGCGACCTTCTTGGGAGCTATTTCAACTATTCAGTTAGTCCAACATTTTTCAGTCAGGTCATCTGGACAGTTTCTTTTTTTGTGCTGAAACGTTTCGTCTTCAATCCGGAAGGCTTCATCAGTCAAGGAAACACACAACACAAAACTGATTCTTCCCCCAAACAGCTTACTCCAAAGTGAAACAAACCAGTTATGTTGGTGCTAAGATTTGACATGACTGTCAACAAGGAAGAGGGCCGGCAATGGAGGAGGGGGCGTGCCAAAGACACCATCTTAGCACCAACATAACTGGTTTGTTCCACTTTGGAGTAAGCTGATGGGGGAAGAATCAGTTTTGTGTTGTGTGTTTCCTTGACTGATGAAGCCTTCTGGATCGAAGGTGAAACGTTTCAGCACAAAAAAAGAAACTGTCCAGATGACCTGACTGAAAAATGTTGGATTGTATACCTGGATTATTGAGCATGGGCTTTGTTGTTATTCAGTTAGTGGTTTGGGGGGTGGGGGGGTGGGGGGTGGGGGGGTGTTGCAGCAAATTCAAACTATGAAAATTTTGTTTTAAGTTGTGAAAAAACAAAACACCCTTCAAGGTATCTTGTTTTATAGCAAAGCACTGTATTTCTGCTGTGCTTGTGTTCACACCGAACAGTGTTTTGCTTCTTATAGTTAATTTTTCTGTCATGTTAACTGAACTGCTGGCAATAAATCCACACGATTCAGCTTTAAAATATTTGTCCAGCATTCCAGTGGCTCTAAATTTAGGTTCAACACAGTTTGTGTGTGTGTGCTTAAGATGAGATGTGTTTTCTTCATTTCTTTCTCATGGTCTGTTTCAGCAAATAATATATATAGGCTAATCATACCTTAAGATAAATTGATCAGAAATAGAACACAAGCATGCTGATAATATGTATTAAGAGAGTGTTTGCATCAACTATGCATTGTAATTCCTGCAGTCACACACATCTTAAAGGCTGAGTCCGCTGGATGCCTTTTGAATGTGAGAACACTATAATGACAGTACTGTTAAACAAATGTGTTATTATAAAGGAGAATTGTTTGGGTAATGATGTCACCATCAAGTCACTGAGACTCTTACTTGAATAGGCAAGGTCTAAAGTATAAGGAATGCAGATGACCTTAGATTGATGGTGACTGTGTCAACAGACTCTTCTAGAAGAATAAAGAGGAGATTTTAGGAATTTGGAGAGCACTCTTGTAGACAGAGTTTTTATTATCAAGTTATTCTCTCACTTTAGTCGATATATACACCACGCGCACACACACATTGTATATATATATATATATATATATATATATATGCAAACATAAATGCATTTTGGCTAAAAATATAGAGTCACTGTTCTTCAGGGAAACATTTTACATGTACTGTAATCCATGTTCACACTGTTAAAATAAATAAATAAATAAAAAATTTGCACGATGATTCAGTTGGTAAAGCTGTTGCCTCTCAGTGAGAAGGTCACCAGGTCAAATCTCGGCCGGGAGCCTTTCTGGGTGGAGTTAGCATGTTCTCTCTGTGCATGCATGGGTTTTCTCCGGGTACTCCAGTTTCCTCCCACAAACCAAAAACATGCATGTTAGACTGACTGGTAACTCTAATTGGCCCTAGGTGTGAGTGAGAGAGTGAATGGTTGTTTGTCTTGTTTGTCTCTATGTGTCCCTGTGATGGACTTGCGACCTGCCCAAGGTGTCCACCTGCCCACAGTGATAGCTGGACATAGGTACCAGTTACCCCCGTGACGCGCAAAGGAAGAAGCTGGTAAAGATAATGGATTGATGGATGGATGGATGGATAATAATAATAACAATAATCCATCCATCCATTATCTTTACCCGCTTAGTCCATTTAGGGTCACGGGGGTTGCTGGTGCCCATGTCCAGCAATCACTGTGCGAGGGGCGGGGTACACCCTGGACAGGTCGCAAGTCCATCACAGAGACACTTAGAGACAAACGAGACAAACAACCATTCACTCTCTCACTCACACCTAGGGCCAATTAGAGTTACCAGTCAGTCTAACATGCATGTTTTTGGTCTGTGGGAGGAAACCGGAGCACCCGGAGAAAACCCACGCATGCACAGAGAGAACATGCAAACTCCATCCAGAAAGGCCCCTGGACCGGGGTTTGAACCAAGGACCTGCTCGCTGAGAGGCAGCAGCTCTACCAGTTGTGCCACCGTGCTGCCCTAATAATAATAATAATAATGATAACTAGAAAACACTCATAGAGACAGAAAAAGGAATCATACTGGCCATTTCACTAAGTGTGTCACTTGATGAACTGTTTTTTCACAAACGCACAGCAATTATTTCAAGAAACTGCAAATATTTTTGTCTTTTGGAAGAAAGATATCAGGGGATATAATAAACTCCACAAGGGAAACTTAAAGCACTGATGATTTTGGGTCTGAATTCTGAAATAATTCACTGTCCTGTAGAAGATTGTAAACATCATCATGAAGACATCCAGGACTTTATGGATCGATGGAGAAAATTCATAATCTGATCTGACGACGCTAAAAGAATAAACCTAACCCTCTCAATGTAACTAAATTCCAGCAAAGTTTACATTTTTGTTAAAATAAATACAATTTCTCTGTATGAAAGCACAATTGGATTACTCTCCCATTGTTTCTTAATACCTCGTGATGCATTATGTAAACATGCTTAAATGTGCTTTACGTGCTGTTGTAAAACTCTAAACATATCACAGATTGGGGTTTGAAGCAAAACATCTTCATTGCAAAACAGTACTTGATGTTCCATTTATTGATAACTTCAGCCATTCTCTAATTTGCAGTACCAACAGAACTATTAGCTAATTGAATCCTTTTACCAACAATTGAGGAATGGTTGCAGAGAATACACCTGGTTCAAGTTTAGGAACGTGCATTTATTTTAATTTTTGTTGTAAAAACTACACAAGCAGACATACAGTATATCCATATAAGAGTGTGATCAGAACAACATTATCTCAGTGAACATCTATTATTTTGCTTGTTTTGCACCATGCAGGCTTGCTGTTAAATGAGGAGGAGCCAGAGAAGAATGATTTTATCTAAGAGTGTTAATATTTATCACTCTGTGAGGCACCGGATTTAACTTGACAACTAATCTATTTTGTTAGAGAAGACAATATTTGTAAACAACATAAAATCAACCGTAGTTTTACTAGAAAAGTTTGAAGAACACTTAAATTAGGATAAAATAAAGTAATAATAATAGAACAAATGTGTTCTAACTAGACATTTGAAAACAGACATTTTCCTCTTAAACATATGCTTAAAAACACAAGATTTTACAGTGTGAGGAAGCTGAGGTCTATAAATACCATTAATATAAATAAATACATGTACTATGAATCCAAAAGATTGGTTTTGCTCAGCAGCTACTGTGTGGTTCAGCAGCTCTTTTGTTTATTTTCAGTGGCATAATTATTTGTGTAGAGCAGCAGCGCCCCCTGATGTCTGAAGTCAGCACGCGCTTCCAGCGGATTGGTCGAGCGGTTGTCAGGAGTGTTTACAGGAAACATGGCTTCTCTGTCTGCAGGAGAGCTTCAAGAAATGGAAGGTGAGCGCAAAAACGGCCAAAGAAGCTTTCGTGAAATGACTGTATGGGGCTGAGCAAGTTGTACCCGTTTATAAAAGATTACCAGCGCTCAAATAAGCAGCTTCGGTGACTTGTGTCCCTGTTACTAAGCAGACCTTCATCCTGGGCTTGTTAGCTGATAAGCTATCAACAAGACGTTAGCTAGCTAGCGCCATATATTTAACGTCTGATCACTCTGTAGTTTTTAGCCGTCTTTGCTGTGCTGTACTTACTACGTTGTTAGAAACAGAACTTTGTGTATCATGGTCGTCGTCTTTGCATTTAACATGTTCAAAAGTAGTTGGTTAGCCTGTTAACTGTAGCCCAAACAGCTAGGCTACTAGCATGTTAGCGACGTTGTGTGCAAAACAAATATAGGTTAACTTGTCTTAACTTTGCTAACTGATAAGACTGGAAATATATCTGGGACGTGATGTTTACTAGTCAGGAGAAAGGTTTATAAGTCTGCCTGCCGTAGTGTGGATGTTTAAGCAAGTTTGTTCGACCTGTGCATGTTGCAAAGTGCAGAAAAGCAGCAAAACATGTACAATCACGACTTATTTAAGGCCTAAGTTACCCTCAGACAGCCTGTCTGAGGCTCAAAGCTCCATTCAGCATTTCTGACTGCTTAGTCAGTGATTGATTGATTGACAAGGTTTTTTAGGCACCCCTCATTGGAGACGAGGCAGCAGGCTTGGCATCGAATGTGTATTACTATTGGCATTACAAGTTACCATAACGACATAGTTTGCAAACAAATACGCCATTTTTCTTATTGAAAATTATTGACATAACAGCTTCTAACTGCCCCAATAAGGTCACATGACCTAGAGTCAAGAGGTCTCTAAACAAAACTCAGTATGTCATCAAACAAATTCCCTACCACCACATCTTTTAAAATACACATACGTATTATATATCAAAACGTAGGCATTTGTCATCATTGGCAGTCCCTGTCAAAGTTTTGCCAGGAACTTTCTAGTTTCTTTATTTGCTTCAGAAAATCTCTGAGGAGTATTGATCAAAATAACTTTAAATGTTTGTTTACATGAATTACTTGTTTCATGTTACTTAGTTATTATCTGAAATCTGACTGAAGCTCTATGCCTTTATAGCACTATATATATATATATATATATATATATATATATAATTTTTTTTTTTTTTTCCAATGTTTGCAGTAGACCGAAGGGGAGAGTCTGAGGAGTCTGGTGATGATGACACCAGGAGGAAGAGCATCAATGGCGAGGTGGATCCCAATCAGCCCACTGCCACAAGTAATCTTATGTCAACACATCTTCCGCTCCAAGACACCCATATTAAAAAAACGTGGATTTTATGAGTCGGGTTGACATCAATAAGCAAAAGTGTACCAAATAGTAACTGGTCTTTTTGAGACTTCTTTGCACTATACTGTTTTTTTTTCACTTGTTCATGTTAATCTTATCAACACATTTGTACCTTTAAGTTTTCCTCAAACTTTTTTTTTTAACTCTTATTAAAGTTAAAGAAGAATCACCTGTTGACATGGACACCATAACCTTGGACCCAGAGGAAGAGGTAAGAAAACCTATTAATGTATTTTCATCTCACTTTATTTATTTATTTTTTAATTTAATTAACACAAATACTTTTTAAAGATATTTTGGATATAAAAGAACACAATTTACTTTTGTATGAGAATGTGAAATTCAACATGCTGAATTTTGAATAACCAAAATATTCTAGCTTTTAAATTTTTGACAAGGGTCATTATGTCATTTTAAATTGTGGGGTGTTTTTTTTAGGATGTTGATCTTGTTCATTGTCGCATTGGAAAAATTGAAGGACTGGAGGTGCTACAGAAGGCTAAAGTAAGTAACTGTGTCGCCCAAGTAAAAATGGAACAATTGATATTTTAATGTGTAATTTATATAGCTATAAAAACATCTTCAGCTGGCTTTTAGCAGTCTATAAACAGTCTTAAAGTATAAAAATAACACTTTTAATCTTTCTGTTTTTCTCTCTGTATATAGACCCTCTCCTTACGACAGAACCTCATCAAAAAGATAGAAAACCTTGACAGCTTGAGCTCTCTCCAGGAACTAGACCTCTATGACAATCAAATCCGCAAGCTGGAGAACTTGAACAACCTCAAAGAGTTAGAGTAAGTCTGAAATAAAGATTGTCCTAACAAGAACCCACATTTTTTTGTTCATTAAGTGGATTTTAAATAAAATTCTATTTGTTACAATGGACCTACAGGCTGCTCGACGTTTCCTTTAACGTTTTGCGGAAAGCGGAGAACTTGGAGGAGTTGACTCGGCTGAAGAAACTTTTTTTGCTTCACAACAAAATTGGCACCATTTCCAATGTGGATCACCTGAAAGATCTCGAGATGCTGGAGCTGGGCTCTAATCGCATCAGGGTGAGCCATAAAGTGTCTCTGCTGCTGTGGGATTTTTAAATTTGAACTTTTATGAAACAATTTGAAATGTGTACAGAGTAACATTTAGGAAGTCGTTTTGCTTTTACTTTTAAGAAGTTTCATTTGTGCTGTTTTGTTGTGTTTGCAGGTCATTGAGAACCTAGACGGTCTTTCATCTTTGCAAAGTTTGTTCCTTGGCACCAATAAAATAACAAAGCTTCAAAATCTGGACAATTTACACAATCTGACTGTTTTAAGCATTCAGGTATTTTCACACACGTTCTTTTTACTGCCTACAGAAATTCGAACATGTCTATGATGATATGGTTGATATTTTACATGTATTGTAGAGTAACCGGATTACCAAAATTGAGGGACTTCAGAACCTTCTCAGCCTGAAAGAGCTCTATTTGAGCCACAATGGCATTGAGGTCATAGAGGGCCTGGAAAACAATGTGAGTGGTGAAACTCCTGAAAGGACTGGATGTCAAACTGTTCAGCTTTGCAAACGTAGAACAACAGAGTTTGTTCTGGACTTCCAAACATTGATTTATTTATTTGTTTGTCTTTCCCACAGAAAAAACTTACAACACTGGACATCGCTGCCAATCGAGTAAAGAAAATTGAAAACATCAGCCATCTGACAGAGCTGCAGGAGTTCTGGGTATGGATTATTTTGAAGTTGAACCAAATTATTTTTTAATGATAGAGCAGTTTGTCATAGGCAGATAGTAAGACTGGATGGGACCTCGTAAAACTTAACAACAAGGTGCTTTTAAACTGGAGGAACATGGTTTTTGTATTTTAGAGGGCATCCTCCTGTCTCCATTTAATTTATTTGTCTGTATTTAAAAAAAAACATACCTATCACAATAGTTGTGACCACACACTTATCCTGCGTAAATTAAACAGAAGTGTGAAATTGAACCGGTCTTTATCAAAACAGTGGTCTGTATCATCCATATAAATATTTTAATGTTACTTTAAAAAAAAGTTTAAGCATCTGTAAAGCCCTTGATTTTCCCAGCCCAAATAAAATGGAGGAAGCAAAGAGAACATATGAAAATGTCACTGTTTCTGTGGTCGAAAGCTTTTCATTGAATGTATCCAGTTCAAAATCACAATCCAGTTGATTCATTACAATTATCGATTGATCATAAAGATAATTCAGGTGAAACGGTTCTGACTCCAGTTTACAACCATCACTTGCACAATGCTCTTAAATGTAATAGGACCCAGTATCCCCTTGAAAATGCATTTTAAAACCTGAAAACTGATTGAAAACGCACAGCAAACATGGAGTGGGCAGTGAAAAACATTGTGAATGCCATGCTCCATTTATTTATTTTCCATCCTTGATGACTGTTGTCTTTTATTCTTCCTTCAGATGAACGATAATCAGCTCGACAACTGGTCGGATCTTGACGAGCTGAAGAATGCAAAGTCTCTGGAGACGGTCTATCTGGAAAGAAACCCGCTGCAAAAAGACCCTCAGTATCGGAGAAAGATCATGCTGGCGTTGCCCAGTGTACGTCAGATTGACGCTACCTTTATCCGCTTTTAAACTGCAGCATATGATCCGCCTGCCAGCCTCTCAGTGTTTCATCTCACCTCCCTGCCCACACAGACACATCGGCCTCGACACATCAGTTGTCACACTATACACAAAATACATTCCAGCACAGAAGTCACCCACTGTTCACTCATCATACATGTATGCATGTATGCACTCATTGAAACCTTGATTTATGCTGTTGTGTGGAAGCTTTTATTTATTAAGGTGGAACTGTGAAAACCTACCCTACGCTCATTTCCTCATTTTTCCTTCGCACTTTTGTTTTATTTTATTTTGAATTATTATTATTTTGCATGTGGGATACAGGTAAAGGGCCCCATCAGCAAAATTAGGAACCGTTCTTATCAAACAAATATTTAAAGTTGTGCAGGTGTCATATTAGTGAAAAGGTGTGGCATTATAACTAGTTCAGGGGATTTTTGTTTGATGCTGTTCACATGTTACATGATGTTTAAAGATCACTTTAAGGTGAACTGCAAAGGGAAATGTTAAAGATAGAATCTAAGTTCTGATTTATTTTTCATACGATATCAATACACTCCAAAATGATCCTAACCCAGGTACCAAACATCGAAGCAGAACATCTAAAATGAAGCCTTAAGACGACATATTGACACCATGCTGGTTTAAAGCAGCTCAACAGTGCTACCTGCAGAAATATGTCTTTTTAGGAAAACATTATTAACAAATGTATCATTTAAGTAAACCTGATGTCTCTACAAAAGGACATGTTTTTGTGTCCAGCCGCCTTGTCTGTTCCTTGTCCTAGTCTTTTACAACTTCAATAGTTATTTCAGTGATCTCTAAAATAAAATTTGTTTATAAAGATGGGTATGTAATCAGTGATGCCACAAGTTTTTTAAATCCTAAACACAATCTGATGACTCGTTTTTTTCCACCAACCCAAAAAAGCTAACAATAAAATGTAGTTTGTATTAGAAATAAATTTGCATTTTAATGGCTGGGCTGCTTTAAAACAATGTTTAATCATCTACATTTTGATGCAAAAAAACAAAAGAAAAATCCCATTTCTGTATTTACAAACCCAAATTTAACATTTAGTGAGTAGAGTTGGTTATTTACACGTGATTTTTAATAAAAAGTGGTAGAAATGCTTAGATCAAACTGTGAATTAATAACCTCTAACCAGATAAAACATCCTAGTAGTCTTCTAATAATCAGGCTGAAGTTTGCATGTCATTGTTACAGCTGAAAAGTGATGCATTACGATGCCTTCCATAGAGATTAAATTACATAAGTACACAACAAAAATCCAGAAAAATAGGTCCAAACTTAGTGCATCCTTTTTCTTCTTCTATCAGTTGGGTAACATTTTGTCATATTCATCTCAATTTGTTAAGACAAGAAAGTGACATAAAAATTGGTTTGTATTTTTTTTTTTTTTAATGGGCATTTTATATAGTAAATATCTCATTTTAAAGTAAAGTAATACAAATCAAGACTTGCTGATCATTTAAAAATTACCTGTTTTTTGAGCCAGCTGTGACCCTAAACAGTGACAAGCCTATGGAAGACTATAAGCAGAGATGGTGTGCATTATTGATATGAATGTACATTTATACTGTCAGCCAGCTGGAATTGGAAGTCCCCCCATTTGTAAATACAGACTAGACAACTCATAATGTAGAAAGTCTTTACCATTATCACCCTTCCTTTGTAAAGTGATTTTCTGCCATTTATGCCTGGCAGCACAACAAATTTGCATTTGAAAAAATAAATCAAAATTATGAGAACAAAACTTGGTTGGTTGGTTTACACAAACTGCTTTCAGCTCCTGTCAGAACTGAGTCTTCAGGGTTTTGGACTTCTTTGATGCTGTTTTTAAACTGAATGTATTATGCAAATAACAATAAAGCGACACTAATGAAAAATCACGTCTGTGTAGTTGCATTTATTTCAGTTCATGTGACAGTAATGCCTTTTGAAACTAATCTGATTTGTGCAGTAGACTGCAAAATAATACTTTTACAACTTATCTGTTATCTGTGGGTTGTAACTTTTTGGTTTGTTTTTCAGAAAGTAAATTCTTCATAGGGGTGATAAATATGCAAATTGCAAAAAAGCATTTAATTGGTTCACAATAGGCTCAATGAGATTAACCTGTCTAAATAAAGGTTGAATGAAAAACTTAAATCTCAGAATTAAATGGGATGTGGTATATCCAATAATTCTCAGTTGGGTTATCTGGACAGTTTCTTTTTTATACCCAACTGAGAATTATTGGATTTGGTACCTGGATGATTGAGCATGAACTTTGTTGATGTGGTATCACATTGGTTTTGTAGTTTTATTGAACAAAATGTATTTATTAATATTAAGTTGTGGGTTTTGTTTACCCGTGGACAAAGTTATTAATGAAAAAGGTATGCAACTGTAACATTTGAAAGAAATATCTAATGAGGTATTCTGTTAAAGCAGTTAGAGAGGAATTCTTAATACTACATTACCCATAATGCATTGTTTCCCCGCGCCAGACGGTGGCGGAAAAAAAAAAAAAAAAGACGTAGCGCATGCGCCACTTTTATGTTGTTGTTTGAGGCGGTAAGATGGCGGCGCTCGGAGACACCTCAACTCCGGTGGTGAATGGGTTAATACAACAATTTACAGCAATAACAGGTAAAAATAATTTTTTATTTGGCTTTTTAAATATTAAGTTGATTTGGGTATTCGTACACGAATACATCCGTTGCCCCCAAACTTACGTACTTAGTGCGCAGAGAAAGAAAATGGGAGCTTTAGTCTTGTTCTTCTCATACGCTGTGAATGCTTTGCAGAAGGTATAAGCATAGGCTGTCTTTTTTCCCTCTGAACTCCGATGAAATGCTCTAAATATGGATCGTAAATCAATCAAATTTGAATCATGTTTCCCATACTATGCGAAATGTGTTTAATTTCTATCGTAATATTTACAATAAACCTAATTTATGTTAGTCTCGAATAGGTTTTTTTTTTTGCTCATTTTGGTCAGCTTGTTTTCTGGCAGTTGGAATGGACGTCGGTTGTTCATTCCCTTTCTTCATCACCAGCCTCATGTCGGCTTACTCTCATCTTCGCTGTCACTTTGACACGATTCACGTATGAATAGATGTTTCTGATTTAAAAACCGGCACAGAGGTGGTGAATAGTTTGTAAGCGCTTTGACACGCCGGTCATTGGTTTAATTTAAACTTTTTTAACCGGAGGAGGAGAGCAGACTCGGCTCAGAGGCTCCAGGACTACTCGGAAAAGTGAAACGGTCATGCGCAGTACAGACAGGAAAGATCGTTCTGGCTGCAGGATTTTTTTAAACTCTTTGAAAAAGAACTAAAGCTTCACAATTGTGTTGTTTTCTCACTTTTAATATATTTTCGTGCTTTTACGGTCAGAGAGAGATCAGGATTTGTTACGTTTGAGGTTCTATTTGAATGGTACAGCCAAGCCATTACAACAGATGATGCTGGGTCGACCCTAAAAACTTTTAAACTGGCTTGATTTTATCAGGATTTTTAGGCACTTTACAACATTTAACCTGTTTCAGTACAGTGTTTAAGCTGTTACAGATTTGGCACTCCATACACAATGAACTAAAAGTAAAATTATGGACACAAGTATACAATTTTCACAAGAAATGAAAAAAAAAAGTAAATGTGCATAACTAAGTAATGAACTTTAGAATGTCTATATTACTGATACTTAGTTTGACTACTGGCATAAAATGGTTAATTAACAAATAGGTTGCTCACATTGATGTCACAAACTTGTGGCTTCAGGATTTTAACTCATAAACAGACATGATTTGCTACATTTTGCCTGTTAAAGTAGCAACACTGCTGCTGAAGATGACAAAAGATACTTTTCAAGAAAGTGCTGCTTAAGAATACAGTTATATAAGAGCCATTAACCATAATTTGACCCACAGAAAGCCCTCAGAGTTTTTTCCCTTTCACGATGATTAGGGCAACTGCAAATATTTATGTTCCCATCTTTTCAATAACACTTTAAACTATTTCAGATTATGAGTTCCACATTTTGTACAAGTCTGCGTTATTGAGCTCTCCATTTATTTGTCCACACAGAATTAGCGCTTGTACACAGCGATGCTTTGAGGCAGTGCTTTGCAGTTAAGTCTAGATCACACGTGTCAAACTCAAGACCCGGGGGCCAAATGTGGCCCTTGTTGATATCTTATCTGGCCCCCAAGATGATATGTGAAATGTATCTCTTGAATTTTTTTTCAGTAATCTTTGATTATGATGTCGAAAGCACAACAGAGAACATCAAATGAGACCAATCAAACTCTTGGTGAGGAAACTGTGACCAAGAAAAGATGTTTGGTATCTGATTTGAGTTAATGTAGATTCTGAAATTGGCCCTTAGTTTGAAAAAGGTTTTAATTTTGACCCCTTTTGTAAGTGAGTTTGACCCCTGGTCTAGATGATTAAACTTTAGCCTTTTAATTCTCATATTTTGTTTGTAGCAACTGGAGATAAATACCAAGAAGTTCTGAAGCTTAGCAGAAGAAGAGGGTGCTGATGGTATGATGAACAAGAGCGGACCAGTTGCAACAGGCCTAGTTTAGATACCGGTATATCCATCCATTATTTTTTACCTGCTTCTTCCTGTTTTGGGTCTCGGGGTCACTTGTGACCATATCCAGCTATCACTGTGTGAGAGGTGGGGGACGCCCTGGACAGCTCGCAATTCCACCGCAGGGATGCAGGGAGACAAACGAGACAAACAACCATTCACTCTCTCATTCTCACCTAGGGACAATTTAGAGTTACCAATCAGCCTAATATGCATGTTTTTGGTCTGTGGGAGGAAACTGGAGTACCCGGAGAAAGCTTGCGCATGGACGGAGAGAACATGCAAACTCCACCCAGAGAGGTCCCAGGCCGGGATTTGAACCACCAACCTTCTCGTTGAGACACAACAGCTCTACCAACCAAGCCACCGTGCCACTAGTTTAGATATACTGTCATTTCTAGGGGTGCACCGATAAATCGGCCGGCCGATTTGGCCCCAACTTCCTTAACTTTGGGAAATCGGCCAATACTTGCATGAAAAACCATCCATCCATTTTCTTTACCCGCTTATTCCATTTTGGGTCACGGGGGTCGCTGGTGCCCATGTCCAGCAATCACTGTGCGAGGGGCGGGGTACACCCTGGACGGGTCGCAAGTCCATCACAGGGACACACAGAGACAAACAAGACAAACAACCATTCACTCACTCACACCTAGGGGCAATTTTAGAGTTACCAATCAGCCTAACATGCATGTTTTTGGTCTGTGGGAGGAAACTGGAGTACCCGGAGAAAACCCACGCATGCACGGAGAGAACATGCAAACTCCACCCAGAAGGCCCCTGGACCGGGGTTTGAACCAGGGACCTGCTCGCTGAGAGGCAGCAGCTCTACCAGTTGCGCCACCGTGCTGCCCTGCATGAAAAACCAATTTTACCGATTTTTTTAGTTTTAACAACAATTGTCTGAACTTCATTTATATTTCAGAGCACTACCTCATGGCCAGTTCAAACAAGTTTGTATTGTTTCTAGGATATTGTTTAAAGGTATGTTTTCCAATAAAATAATATTGGAAAATTTAAGGTGCATTGTGACCTTATAACACCTGACAGTGTCGCTTTAAAACAAAATCAGAATCGGCAGGTGACGGGTCAGACTTTTTAGAAATCGGTGATCGGTGATTGTGATTGGCCAGAATACTGCAATCGGTGCACCCCTATTTCAATTAATTTTTACAGTATTTAAGTTTACAATTTCAACAAATATTGGTCAGTACATAAAGGTTTATTTTTGACTTTTTTTTTCCCAGTGTGAAAGGTCATTATATCTTAATTTAAAACATAAATGTGAGTAGATACATACCACATTGGTTTGGCATTAGTTGGATTATAAGATGGATATGTAACTGCGCTAAAACCTCATCATTTGAAACTGACAGCTGCCTTGTAAAACAGTTTTAGAGCATTAACCATCTACTGAAGCCTTTGGTTTTAGAGATTAAAACTGTTTTATTAAAATAATGTTTTTGCTCTTACACTGATCAGTATTAATTGTAGAGAACAAATGTTTATAGGTCTAAGTTTCAAGTCCACGTCATTATTGCTACATTTTAGAGCAGATACAGCGTTGCTCAGTTATTGGTAATTTGATAGGTTTAAAGTTGTCACACCATCAGTAATAGTATAAATTAGTTGAATATCCATAAACAGTTTCTTAATAAATAAAAAAAATCACAATATAATTTTTTCTGTTCCCATTTCTCTTCTAGGGGCTACAGAGAGTGTAGGAAAACACATGCTTGAAGCGTGTAACAATAACCTGGAGATGGCAGTGACCATGTTTCTGGATGGAGGTGGGATGGCAGAGGAGCCCAGCACCAGCTCCAGTTCAGCAGCATCGAGCAGCAGAGCTCCCCCCACAGAGTGAGCTCATCTTCATAAGCTTATCTCAGACTTAAACTGACCTTGTTGAGTTCTCATATCACAAACTCAAGACATTTTCATTGCTGTATGTTGGCGAAAGGTGATAACACATTACTTTGATTCTGTTCTGTTTATAATATGTAATTTATTGTCTTGTATGTCAGTGAAGTGCGAGCACCCATTCCCCAGAAGCAGGACATACTGGTGGAGCCAGAACCACCGTTCGGAGGTATTCTAATGTAATTTCACTTTATCCAAACAAGTTCTCACCATCTCCCTTTGAAATCACAAGTGTCTTTGAATTTTTCTGTCGTCTATTCAGTGCCAAAGCGAAGACGACCTGCTCGATCAATATTTGATGGCTTCAGAGACTTTCAAACAGAAACAAGTGAGTCTTTTCAAGTTCATTTGCTTAAAATATATGAGTGGTAGAGAACACTATATAGTTTAATGCATTTTAATAATAAAAAAAAAATTCAGATTTTCTTTTGTTTTGGATTGCCATAAATACTAAGAATATTTTCTTCAAAAGTCCGCCAGGAACAGGAGCTGCGTAACGGAGGAACAGTGGATAAGAAACTCAGCACCCTGGCAGACCTTTTCCGTCCTCCCATTGAACTCATGCACAAAGGCAGCTTTGAAACGGTGGGAAGTCACACTCGGGACACTTGACACCACATCTTTATACACTTTGAGGGAACTTTCAGCAAATGTTTAGACGGTGCATGTGTAGATCACTAACCAGATACAAATGTTCAAGCTCTATGCATCTGAACATTGTACTTATTGGCCTATAAAATGAAAAAGAAGCCAAGTTTTTCATTCAGCCTTTATTTATACCGGTTAGTCTCATTGATCCTCAAGGACACATTTACAAGAGAGACCTGTTTTTAACAAAGAATGATGACAACAGTAGACATCACTAGACAATCATAAAAGACAGCATATAAATTGAAAAAATAAATGGAAGAAAATGATATATATAAAAAAACAGCTACATAGTGAGTTATGATTTGTTGTAATGGAAGCCTTGTGTTTAATTTGCTACAACATGAAGGTTCCCATGCTACACGTTGAAACTGGGAAGGTTTACTGATTATTATACATTTCTCTGCAGCAACACCATTTTTAAAATCAGGATAGGGTTGTCAAATAAAGCATAAAATTAAGTCATATTTCTTTACAATAAGTAACCTTAAAAATATTTTTCCCATATAAGGTGTAACTCCAACCCTGTAGCATTAGATCATGAGGTGTTTTTTTTTTTTTATGATTATTTATGATGTTTCTTGTTACTTTTATACATTTGTATTTTTTGCTTAGTAATTGATGTCATTGTATTGTAAAAATACTAGATACAACTTGTGTATTTTTATTATGTCATTTTTGTGTTTGTGTGTTGTTGCTTTTGTAGGCAAAGGACTGTGGACAGCTTGAAAACAAGTGGCTTATGATCAACATCCAAAATGTTCAGGACTTCGCGTGCCAGTGTCTTAACAGGGACGTGTGGAGTAACGACGCAGTGAAGAACATCATCCGAGAACACTTCATATTCTGGCAGGTGTGGTACTTTTTCATTTAGTGAGCAGCACAAACAGCCCAACCGATATGGACATTTTGGCTATCGTCGATACCAGTGTTGGGAGGGAAAGGCTTATGCCAATAACCAATATATAGACTGAAATTTTTTTAGCTTTGTCCACCCCCAAGAATCTTAAATAAGCAGCTACTTTTAAACCTATTTACCATAAAGTTATCAAGTGTGTTACAAAAATATAAATTAAACAAAGAAATGCCCTTCCCTGTTCATTGTTTAAACAGTCAGTCACGTATATTGAAGGCCTAATTAGTATTGACCGCAAAAACGTTTTTTTTTTCTTTGTAGAGAAGTAAAGATTTCAGACAAACAGTACATTTCATTAAGGACGACAAAGATAAAGTTACTAATACTGATATATATATTTACCTCTCTGTTAGATTTATTGTTCTGGATAAAGTTTTACAAGGCGATAGCCTATGCTAGGCTATCTAAACATTAGCTTGCTAACTTGAGTGGCACATAGCTAATGACGAGCAGGTTGGAGGATTGAAGAGAATTTATTGTTGATTTGTTTTCATTTTTATAGATCAGTTACAATAAATTTACCATGCTCGCTTCAGAAAAATACGCTGCACTGTATTTACCGGTAGTTGTTCCCTACTTAGGTTGTGCTGAGTCAAGTGTGCAGCATGGCCATAACTTGAAAGTAGTCCGCATGCGCCCTCTGCTGGGTACATTGTACAATTATGCTCTTTGCAAGTAAGGGCACGGCTAGTTCCCATCATTTTAGGGATGAAAATTAAAAGTGTTTATATCGGCACATCATAATAATTATTACCAATACCAATATGTCTCCAACCGCCTATACAGGCCCCTACTGCCATATCGGTCAGGCTCTAGTAAAGACGAAAGCCCATTTCACACATTGTCAGCACTAGAACCTCCTTTAAATCCTTACAACGTCACTCCAAAACTGATCCAGAGCAAGTAAAAGAAAATACACCATGGACAAATGTATTTCTCCAGTGTATGTGGGCTTGATATATCTTTATATAATGTCTCCTTGCTCTGCTTCATTGTTCATAAGGATAATTATTGCTCTGTTGACACTGCAGTTTTTTCAGCAGACTGCAGTCATTTCTCATGTTTTCTAGTGAAGGGTTTCATATGGGCATGCAAATATCCACAGTGTCAGGGTTTTTTTTAAGACATTTTCCACCAATCCCTCTCTTAAAATGTATGCAGATTAGTTGACAATATCATGTAAGTAAGTAATAGTATGTACCGGTAGTAGCAAATCTCCCAGAGTATTTCTTGCAAGAGTGAATGAACAGTTGCTTTTTCACACTTCATTTGCCAAACTATTTTTTTTCTACTTGTGCATCACTATTGTGTTTACAATTGGCATTGACATAAACAATCGAAACAGTCATTGTTTCTATTCTGAAGATGTTGAGAAATAAAACCCAGCAGTTTCCACATCATTTTTTGGCCTCGTAGCCTGAATACTCGATGGTATAAGCAGACCCTCCTGCACACCTTCCTTCTTGTAGGTTCAGAGAACACATCTTCTAAAGAATAAATCTTTCTGTGACGTTCATGTGTAAACAGCAGTTTCACAAAAAAAAGTCCAGCCCAATTTTTCCCCCACTTTGTTCTAAATAGCTTTAGTGTTCATTTGTGGGCAGGGTTATTGAGAGCCAGTTCTTTCCCATGTTAACATTACATTTTAAAAAGCTTCTGAATGTGCATTCATGTGAGCACCCTGAAGTTAAAAGAAATAAATAAATAAGTAAGAGCTTCAAGAACTTTGACTCTCTTTGGTTTCTGCTGTGAAAACACAGCAACTGGGTTAAAAATATTACCACTGGGTCCAGCCAACTTATTTTATTTTTGTTGCTGTAAATATAAAAAAGGAAATGTTTACACTGAAAGTCCCTGTTTTGGTGTTCACATTCATGTTTCTATGTTACGTCACGTTTCTTTTTATATTCTGTGCATTACCGCTGAGCTTCTCTCCTGGCAGGTATACCATGATAGTGAAGAAGGACAAAGGTACATCCAGTTCTATAAGTTGAACAAGTTTCCTTATATTTCCATCCTTGATCCACGCACAGGTGAGAAGTGTAGCTAAACAATTGCTTTCATTTTTTTAATTGTTCCTTTTTTTGTTTTGTAATTTTATTCTTTTTTTTTTACTTTTTGGAGATCGTATTTCATTATCTTTTTTTAGTTGTTTAACTTTGGTTAACTTTAGCTGATTATGAACATGCAATATGAAAACATTTGATTCTGGCATTAGCATTGAAGCTGTTACATTTGTTAGTTTTGTTAGTTTTTTGTTTCTTATCTAAGCAAAATATTATTCTGAATAAGAATAAGAAGGCCGCACTAATTATTTATAGCCGCAGCTTCGTGCACTCCGCCCATCTTCAGACGACTGTACGTACATATTCGCGTTGTATCTCGGTGCAATGCCAATAAAGTTTATTCTGATTCTGATAAAGTTTATTCTGATTTACGGGGATACTTTAAATCCTCACACTTTTATTAAAGTGTGAAAGCTGTTTGAAAACTTTTGTCAAAAGATGACCATTTTAATCTTAAATTCAAAATATATTTATGCAAAAATATACAGCTATCTTTAAAATACCAAAGCTCATGCTCATCAATCCAAGTATAAAAATCCAGCAATGTTCAGTCAGGTCATCTGGAAGGTTTCTTTTGTTGCTGAGACGTTTCGTTCTTCATCCGAAGGACTTCTTCAGTCTGAGGAGCCGCCAAACCAAACTGAATCCCACAAACAGCTCACTCCCAGAGTGGAAAAAAACAGTTTGTTGGTGATAAGATGGTTTGGTGGGCTCCTCAGACTGAAGAAGTCCTTCGGATGAAGGCCGAAACATCTCAGCAACAAAAGCAACCATCCAGATGACCTGACTGAACATTGTTATCTTTAAAATAGTTCATAACAACACTAAGCTCTATAACAGTGGTGCCCAAACTTTTCTGGACTAAGATCTACTTTTGAAATTGCCGTCTCTGTATCAAACACATTCCTAGTCCCAGGCAAACCGTGGGTCGTAAGATTATGAGCGTCTCCTCACTTCCACAAAGACCAACAGATCAAACATGTTACTAGTTTTGTAGACTTCACCGCCTACCAGAGAATAATGAAACAAAAGACAAATTCCCTAACCTAACTCCTGACAAAGAAACTGGTGTTCAAACAAAAAGAGCCTCTTTCCCTTCCTCCTGAAATTAGTGCTCACTATTTACAAAAGGTGGCTTGCATTGGCGCAGAATCATAAATCTATTTACAAATCGCAAACAATGACACAAATATTTCAAATGGTAAACAAATGATAACGTGAAAACTTCAGTCAAAGCTAGTTAGCTGTGGAGAGAGCAGGTTGAGTCTCTTACTGGTCCAGACTGCAGGCTTGAACAAGACAATCGCAGTCCTACCTTGTTAACACCTTATGCTTACTTATTTACTTTTTAAATATGAACTGTTTTCATTGATCTGTGCTGTTTCAAACCTCTTAAATCCAGGCCAAAAAATGGTGGAGTGGAATCAGCTGGACGTGGCATCATTCCTGGAGCAAGCGTCCAGCTTCCTGGCAGAGCATGGGCAGCTCGATGGGCCATCCTGCCAAGCGCCCCCAGCCAAACGAGCTCGCTCGGTGAGTTTAAGATCCTGTCTTTAGAAAATGTTCACACAATCATCAGAATTAATACATTGTAGTGGCTGTGATACAAAGTGTAGGTGTCAAACAGCAAAACATTTTGTGCCGCTTCGTGTTTTACCTTCTGCAGCTGCTGACTGTGTTTACTGTTTTAGGAGAGTCTTATTGATGCCAGCGAAGACAGCCAGCTGGAGGCGGCAATCCGAGCCTCCCTACAGGAGACCCACTATGAGTCTGCAAATGTCCCTGACGCCCCTGACTCCCCCCGATCAGAGGACGAATCCGATGCAGAGCCGTTTTCTGACAGCGAGGGACCCATCTCTGTTGATGGCTCAGACAGCGAAACACCGGCACGGCACGAAGAAAAAAGTTCAGCCAGCAAACAGACGCAGGCGCCCTCAGCCACTGTAGCCCCGCAGCGCCTACATCCAGACAGTTCCACTTCTTCCCATAGAAAGTCTCCGTACAAAGAAAACAATCACAGTCACAAGAAAGAGGAGAGCAAAAAAAACCACCTGGAGCCCTCGTCTGCTAGTTCTCATCATTCTCAACCAGATGCAGACTCTGGGGGGAACCGCTGCACCTCACAAAGCAGAAGTGCTGGAACCTCAAGCATCAGCACCACAACCTGTGACGTGGACTGTCCTGATGACAACGGTACGACAAATACAAACCTGTCTGCTTCTTGCAGAATAAGCTCATTTAACAATTCAAATTGTTTTAAGACAGCTTGATGGGGTTGAAGAATGTCGTTTGTGTTTTTGTGATCTTAAGACAGAAAAACACTGTTCACACTGCAGGAAATATTTTATATTTTTATGACGGTCTAAAAGTTATAAATCAAATTATGGTCTGATCAAAAAAATAACATGAAAAAAGTGTGTGTACACACACATATATATATATATATATATAAGTGTGTGTGTACACACACACACACATATATATATATATATATATATATATATATATATATATATACTGGCTCAGTTTTCATATGTGGAACTAAAATGGATTCATATCTGATGATGTGTGACCTCAGTTTGAACGGTCATGTCACATTTCTTTAGCCTTTTACATCATTGAAGTAAAAGTGTGTGGATCGATTCAAATATTGGTATTATCGATTCCAATGTCATGAATTTAAAGCTTGGAGCTCCCACAAATGAGAAGGGAATTGTCTTCAACTAAAGAATGGAAATCCTGATGCGTTGTCTTTTTAAAACTTTAGATTTACAATGTCTGGATTATTGAGAATGTACTGCAACATATGATACCAAGGTTTGGGTCTGATTTATCTACACTAACGTGTTGGGACCAATACTTGAGTTTTTCTCCTCTTCAATACGTCATTCCTGTTCAAAATGTGCAATTCTACTCGAGTAGGCAGGAAACGACAAGATCAAATGTAAACTGAACATAAACAACCGTGGCAGACAATTTTAATGGCTCTGATTTCACAACAGCTTCAAGACACGTTTACTTTCATAAACACAGAGTGCTGTGTGCACGTTACATTTTCTTCTGCCCATGTGTGTCTCTTTAGGGCAATAAACTCTTAACACTGGAGTCTTATGGAGGGCACATTTAATTTACAATATAATCACAATCAGAAATCCAAACTCAGCCAAAAAATAGAGATTGAGCTTTAAGCTCTGCAGCGTGAATGTAGCTTCACTTCACAAGTTGAACTTGTAGATTCAGCAGTTTGATAGTTCTGATATCACTAAACCAGTTAGCAAATTATCAGTCTGACACTTCCAAAGTTCATCTTGAACAGCCTAACGAATCAGATGCGGAGCCATTTCACCTTTCTTGTTGTTGTGAACTGTTCTGACTGACCCAATTTAAAGCCAGGAGGTATCAGTTTTACTGTGAAGGCAATCAGTATCATAAAATTCAAATAACGCTTTTGTTGGAGTCGAGTGACTTTTAGCATCCATCCGGATTCTAATTAGATATTTAGACCAAATTAAAAACGACCTTAAGTCTATGTGAGGCTGTAACTGCAGGGAACTCTCTGCTTAGGTTGTGGCGGAGCATCAAGACCAGCTGAGCATTCAAAAGTTTCTGCATTAAAATCCCAACCTGAGATTCTTCTCTGAACTGCAGTGCATTCTTCAACCACAAAATCTTCCAAACAAGGAGTTAGACAACCTTTTGTCTGTTTTTGTCACCTTGAAGGCATGCACAGCCAGATTAGGTTTCTCTCTTAATTTTAGCTTCATTTCACTTTGTACTAAAATTTGTCTGTTTATCAAACAAACAAACAAAAAAAGTAACTAAGAGGACGGGGGTGTTTTAAGAAGAGTCTTAAAGCACGCTGTACTTAGCCCTCCTAACATTCACAGTTTAGAAGATGTGACTGCAGCGACTAATTGCCTCTGTGTGTCACCATAGACGGATGCAGCTAAACAGTCAGTAGATCTTTTTCACCTGGAAGCAAACATTGTTTACAAAGGAGCTAGTTTAAGTGTCTTATAAAAAACAAATAAAACTCCAAAAGATGCACATGATAGAGAGACTTGCTTTCTTGTGTGTGTTTGTGGCTAACACCACCTTATGTAGCTGTCAAGTATTCCAGGTGAAGATGTTACGAAGGCACTCACTTTTTCAAAGCTCTTACAGGGTTAAAAGAGTATAGGGGAAATAAATCTCACCTGTATGTTCTGGCTTGTCTGGTGATAAATTTAATATTTATATATATTTTTTATTTTTATGGATTTGATAAAGGCCCCAAAGCGAGGTTGATGCTCCGTTATCCAGATGGGCAGAGAGAACAGATTTCGTTGTCTTCAAAAGCAAAACTATTGGTGAGTATACTCAATTTTTCACATTTTGTCTAAAATCCCAGCACAGCTTTTTATATCGAGTGATTAAATTAGTTTTATTGCACTTAAAGCCCCACATGCCTGCCCTATAATATGACTGCTGTCTTCCTTCAAGGCTCTGGTCAGACACGTCCAGTCCAAGGGTTACCCCAACGAACGCTTCGAACTCGTCACCAACTTTCCCAGGAGGAAGCTTGCCCACTTGGACTATGACATCACACTGCAAGAAGCGGGGCTTTGTCCACAGGAAACTGTATTTGTGCAGGAGAGGAACTAGTAACATTCACTTTCAGCTTCTTCATATCTCTGGTAGACCTCACTCTCGCCAACGTTTTGGGCCGATGATAACAGGCTTTGGAATTAAGTCTGGTGTTTTTGGCAGGACAGGCGTTGATAAATGGACGACTTTCACTGCTACTCCACTAGTCTCGATACTGACGTCTTCACTGACAGCCTAATCCCTTTGTAGTGCTATACAATTTGGCCAGTAAGGTGTAACAGATGTCAGCACTTTTTTTTTTAGTTATTTTTACTTTTTTTTTTTTTTTCTCTATAGTAGTATGTAACTTGTTCCAGCTCGCTTTTTTGAAAATCAGGACACGCATTTCTGTTGAAGAAAGCCTCACTTATTGACGTAGGGCCACAAAAGACTTGTACAAAAAAATACTTATGCCTCCCTGAAAAGACGTTAAATATCAGAGTTTATTTTCTATATCTTTTTTGTTTTTATTTCTGTACATGGAAAACCTAAAGGGAGGTTTTTTTTTCCTGTGTCTGTTTCAACTGTTAGGAGTGTGAACAAAAAAGATCCAAAAATAGCAATTCAACAATAAAAATGTAACTTTTTTTATTACAGAAAGAAATAAATGGTAGGTGGTTGGACCTGCACTGTACAGACACAGATTAGACGGACTCGTTTAGTTGTAGTCATTGTTTTCTTTTTTTTTTTATATGCTGCCAAGAAAATATGCTGATGTTGAAATATAACCACCAAAAACTCAAAAGCTGCTTGCTCTTTTGTCTCCATCTTCTGCCGCTAATTATCATTTTGCAGAGGCAGCAGGAGAGAAACCCAAACAGAACAATTATTTTAACAAATACAGACAAATCTTAAGAAAAAGGTGGATTTTAAGTTTAAAAGAATTAAAGTTGTGCTATGAAACAATTATTTTTAATACCAGAAACAAAAAGGTTATTATTAATTGACCGATTCACCAATCTGTATCACTCTGATTAAATTTTTATTACCGGTAGATTAGTTTTGGGTTTTTTTTTCTCACAAAAACAAGAAGTTAAAAGTGTGTACTGTTTTTCAGTGGTGTAGCTCAGTGAAGTAAGAACAAGTGTTGAAAGAGTTGTATAAGATACAGTTTTCTGTAAGCATTCAAAAAAAACTACCATCATTTTATTATAGTCGCACAAACCCATATAATTTGGTTGAAGAGTGATGGTGCATGAGTGGGTTTTCTCTAGGGTCCTCCCACAGTTCAAATCTTAAAATGGGACTGAATTTGACTGCAGGTGACGAGCATGAATGGCCTTGTGTCTCTTATGTTGGTTGGTTTGTGATGGATTAGTGACCCACCCAGGATGAAACGGGTACAGAAAATGAGTCCCAACAAAACAAGACAGCTTTGGGGCTCCTGCCCAGTGGGACATGCTGGAAAAACCCGTAAAGGAGGAGTCCATTCTAATCCGAAACTCAAACCATCTCAACTGACTCGTCGATGTGAAAAAGCAGCGACTACTCCGAGCTCCCCCTGACTGACAGCCCCCACCCCCATATCTAAGTCCCTCTCACGCTATTAGACAACTTATGTCGCCGTATGAAAAGTTTGTCTTACATACTGACATACTGAAGATGGATAAAAAGCAACAACTGGAAGCCTCTGTTGGATGTCAACATTACCATATTGCTAACGAGTTGCATATGAGTAACTTATGCATAACTTGTGCAATGTTAGTATAACTTATGTCAAACTTATATATAGCATTTTGGAGCGTCTTGCAACGATCACGTGGCATCAGAGATTTTTAAAAAAAGGGCAGCTCTTTGCACTCTGCATCCCCAGTCATTCATTTTGCATTGATCAACATGCCACGGAAGAAATCAAACAAATCTGATCAAGGAAGTTGCAGCAAGGGTCCATGGTCGACCCAATCAAACTTCACTCTCATCACCTTCACACCCATTCTCACCCTCATTTGCATCTGACCACCATTCAGACACTGATGGGCAATTTTGCTCTTGTGCTGGCTCTGATGCCTCAGTAGCATCTGGGGTGGCAGCTAGGGCCGTCAGCTACAGTGCATTGACAATAATCTACGTTGTTGAAACGTCTGATATGTTAGAAATAAGTTACACAGACGTTGCACAATAGCCAAGTTGGTTAACAATGTGTGTCAACTGAGTATTGTGTATGTAATGTGTGTGAACTTGTGCATGACTTGCTCTAACTTATCAGCAACTTGTCGGTATACGTTGAAAATTCATCCTGTCCTCACCCTATCTTTAAGACCGAGTCCGGCCACCCTACAGAAGAAGCACATTTTGGTCACTCGGATCCGGGATCTCGTTCTTTCTGACTTGATCCAAACCTCGTGATCACAGGTGAAGGTTGGAACGTACACAGACCAGTAGATCCAGAGCTATGCCTTTTGACTCAACTCTTCACCACGACCGACTGAAGCAACACCATCCATTACTGAGGACGAGGCCCTGATCCGTCAATCATCTCCTGCTTTCCTGAACCTCGGAGCATTCCACTCGTTTACAGTTGAGAATCGTGATCTCTGAGGAGCTGACTCTCAGCTGCGAACCACCCCAGTGCACGCTGAAGACCTGAAGATGCCAACAGAACCACATCATATGCATAAAGCAGCTACCTCTTGTAATTAATGTTTTAAATTGTTTCTGGTTTTTGAATGGAAAACATTTAAATCCACTCAAACCAAACAAAAAAGAACATACAGTACAATCTAAGAGATTTCATTACAATGAACTATAACACCAACTACAACAATGTGCTTAAGGAAATGATAAAAAAAAACAATCAATGTAAAACATTTGTTCATAACTAAGTATATTTTGTCATCTTTATTTCCATTTATGCAAAGCTGTGAGCTTACCATGCCTTTCTTCATCCAGTAGCTGTTCCTCACAGTTTAACAAATGGACAGCTGGTGGTGGTAATGTGCCAAAAATTAATGTGGAAAAATAAATTATAAAGATGCATGTTTTTCTACTGTCTAAGCCAACGTTGCATTTATTTTCTGAGGAAAAATAGTTGTTTTAAAAAGTTCAATGTGTGTGTATTTACCAACCCAATTTCTTTTTCCATGTTTAACCTCAAATCGTTTGTGGTTGTCTTATTCATTAATTTATTTATTAGATTTGTTCGGCGTTCAGCAGTCTTTCTCTTTTTTAATTTGTTCATTTTTGGATACTTCAGATAAAGTGCTCTGACACAATATTGAAGGAATATTTGAACAAGCTACATATTATCAACTCTAGTTATCATTTTACACCATAGGTGCTCACGAATTGCACAAGTTTTTCTAACTCACTTTTCTGAAGCACTAAATGGATCCTTTTTTCACAGTAAAGGTTTTATTTATCTGAGACTAATCCCTTTTCATATCAAAACAAGTTGTTGTGTCACCCATAAATACAGACACATAAAAATAAAAAAATGATAGGTCTTTTGTTGATCAATGAGGTACCTGTAGAGTGGTATTTCTAATACAAGGACAAATATCCCTGAGTTGCTTTCATGACAGAAAAAAAAGCTGCTTGGGTCAGACTTCCAGTTCAATTTAGTTTATTTATATAGAGCCAAGTCACAACAGAAGTCATCTCAGGGCACTGAACAGAAACATTCATATGGAGTATATAAAAAGTAAGTTGACATTATTTATCTGAGGAGCAGACTCAGACTTCCAATAGGAGTTTGGTTGGCCTTGTCGCTGTTTTAAGTGCTTTATAAATAAAGTGGTATGGTAAAGTGGAGATCACGGTGTTTTAAAAAGGGTTGTTTGGGATTTTGTGACATACAGGTGCTGGTCATAAAATCAGAATATCATGAAAAAGTTTATTTCAGTAATTCCATTGAAAAAGTGAAAGTTGTATATTATATTCATTCATGACACACAGACTGATGTCTGTGTGGCATGAGCAATGCAGTGTGGCATGGAGTTGATCAGTCTGTGGCACTGCACAGGTTTTATAAGAGCCCAGGTTGCTCTGATAGTGGCCTTCAGCTCTTCTGAATTGTTGGGTCTGGTGTATCACATCTTCCTCTTCACAATAAGGTCAGGCGAGTTTGTTGGCCAATTAAGAACAGGTATACCATGGTCCTTCAACCAGGCACTGGTAACTTTGGCACTGTGTGCAGGTGCCAAGTCCTGTTGGAAAATGAAATCAGCATTTCCATAAAGTTGGTCAGCAGCAGGAAGCATGAAGTGTCTAAAACTTCCTGGTGGCTGTGTCGACCTTGGACCTCAGAAAACACAGTGGACCAACACCAGCAGATGACAGGGCACCCCAAACCATCACTGACTGTGGAAACTTGACACTGGACCTCAAGCAACATGGATTCTGTGCCTCTCCTCTCTTCCTCCAGACTCTGGGACCTTGATTTCCAAAAGAAATGCAACATTTTCTTTTATCAGAGAACATAAGTTTGGACCACTCAGCAGCAGTCCCAGGCGAGACGCTGCTGACGCTGTCTCTTGTTCAAGAGTGGCTCGACACAAGGAATGCGACAGCTGAAACCCATGTCTTGCATATGTCTGTGCGTGGTGGTTCTTGAAGCACTGACTCCAGCTGCAGTCCACTCTGTGAATCTCCCCCACAGTTTGGAATGGGTTTTGTTTCACAATCCTCTCCAGGGTGTGGTTACCACTGTTGCTTGTACACTTTTTTCTACCACATTGTTTCCTTCCCTTCACCTCTCTATTAATGTTCTTGGACACAGAGCTCTGTGGACAGCCAGCCTTTTTAGCAATGACCTTTTGTGTCTTGCCCTTCTTGTGCAAGGTGTCAGTGGTCGTCTTTAGGACAACTGTCAAGTCAGCAGTCTTCCCCATGATTGTGTAGTCTACAGAACTAGACTGAGACCATTTAAAGACCTTTGCAGGTATTTTGAGTTAATTAACTGATTAGAGTGTGGCACCAGGTGTCTTCAGTATTGAACCTTTTCACAATATTCTGATTTTCTGAGATACTGAATTTGGTGTTTTCATTAGTTGTTAGTTATAATCATCAACATTAAAATAAAAGCATTTGAAATACACCACTCTGCGTGTAATGAATGAATATA